ATCCGGACACAAAATATTCGACTCAGTAGTGGTTTTACTATTTGAATTAACCACAGGAAACACTGAACTATCAGCCCACACCCGATCACCTACTAGTCCATTTCCCAGAATCAAATGAATTCCGTCCACTGGTAAAGCAGGGCGTACTCCCACTACCACCTGTCCTTGCACCAAATCAGACTGAATCTCAAGCTTATGAAGTGGCACAGACAGAGTATTTAATCCTATTCCCCGAATTAACACATCCTCACCCATATAAGACTGTGGGGAAAAAGGCAAAACTGATTCCAAGATAAATTAATCTATGGCTCCAGTGTCCCTTAGAATTTTAACCGGAATCTCTTTTTTCTCACCAACAAGAGACACAAGACCTTCTGTAACTAAAGGAGAGTAAGAAGAAAAAAAAACATCAGGGTTTTTATTCCCAACAGATTTACCTTCCACAACCTGAACTGGCGCCGCAAGAACTGTGGGCTTAACATGTGAACCCTGTGTAAGACTTTGGACTTATTTTTAAGAACAAAACAATCTGCTTTCCAATGTCCTTTCTCATGACAATAATTGCAAATTTTATTTGGGTCAAATTTCCCCGTGAAAACATGACTGCATTTAGGCGAAGACTTCACCAGCACTGCAACCTGCATATCACGAGCACGCCAATCAGCAAAAAACATTCTATGCGTCAATACAAAATCATCTGCCAATACAGCTGCTTCTTCCGGCGTTTTAACATAATGCTCACCAATGTATGTAGCGACACACCCTGGGACTGAACTTTTAAATTGCTCTAAAATCATTAGGTTACTTAAATCATCCAAAGTTTTGACATTCATTGCTGTGCACCAACGATTAAAATGTTTCCTCAGGTCACGCACAAATTCTAAGTGAGTCTGCGTCTCTTCTTTCTTCTGTAATCGAAAACGCTGTCTATACGCTTCAGGAACACACTCATATACTTTCAAAACTGCAGCCTTAACGATGTGGTAATCTTTACAATCATCAAGTGACAAAGAAGAAAAAGCAACTTGGGCTTTTCCAATTAGAACACACTGTAACAGCGCAACGCGATTCTCATCTGACCAGTTTCTTAATTCCGCTACACGTTCAAAAAGAGTGAAAAAAGTATCAGGATCTTCTTCATTAAATTTCGGAACCAGTTTTAAACATGAAACGAGTGAAAAAGACATACCTCGTTCCTCCGT